CACCTGTACAAATGATCAGAATCACTTCCTGGGGATGAGTTCTGCTGGGGTCCTTGTTGTATTTATGAGCTGACAAGTTCCCCTGCCCAGAGCTTTTGTTTCTCACTCCCAACATGCCCTGTCAGCTAAGTTCCACATCCAGCCTCTGGAGCATGGGTAGGCAAACTAAGGCCCGGGGGCCAGGTCCAGCCCAATCACCTTCTAAATCCGGCCCGCGGATGGTCCAGGAATCAGCTTGTTTTTACATGAGTAGAATTTGTCCTTTTATTTAAAATGCATCTCTGGGTTATTTGTGGGGCAAAGGAATTTGTTCATTCCCCCCCCCCAAAAAAAAATATAGTCGGCCCCCCACAAGGTCTGAGGGACAGTGGACCGGCCCCCTGCTGAAAACGTTTGCTGACCCCTACTCTGGAGAAATCTTTTAGGGAGGAAGGAGAACTCTGAGCAGCAGAACCTGCTGTGCGCTCCTTGTTTCTGAATCTATGCATTGATTAGGAGAGCAAGTTTAAATGCGTAAATAAAAACGACACTTTGGGGACGACTGCTAAACTGCAGAACAATAAACATTTTTAAAGCTTCATTTATTTGTACCCTAATTTGCATTTCGCTGCGTCACCCTCTTAGCTGGGAGCCAAGGGTCATGTACTTGAACGCCATTTTGTTCCTTTGGTGCCTTTGTGCACGTGCGTGTTTTATTGGCAGTCATAAAGTGCAGTTCAGAAAAAAATGTCATCTAAAAGTAAGTAGCTCTTAATTGGACATATCAAAGCGATATCACATTGGTCAGGATGAACACTTAGACCAAGAGCCCTTGACTGATGAATCACCTGCCCATGCCCTTTGAAAGGGATGGCAAATCACCGCTCAGTTTGTTTGGGAAATAGGAACAAAATGAATGAACTAACCGTCTGAGGTATCAATGCCCTCTTACCTTTGATGTGAGGTGGAAAGTCTAATGTGCTGTTTAGTTGTCTCCTTGGCCTGGAAATCAAAAGGCTCTCTCTCCCAGACTAGTGACAACCATGAACATCTCTTCTCTAAAGTAGCTACAAACATTATAACTCCTTATGCACCCACTGAATGTCCTGGGTTTGACTAGCAAAGCAAGATGGCAACAGCCAATATAGAGGTTGTATGTTCTATGAACATCTTTAAAAAAAGGTAAAGATAAAGGATCCCCGTACAGTTAAGTCCAGTCAAAGGTGACTATGGGGTTTTGGCACTGAGGGAGCTGGTGTTTGTCCACAGACAGCTTTCCGGGTCATGTGGGCAGCATGACTAAACAATTTCTGGTGCAACGGGACACTGTGACGGAAACCAGAGCACACAGAAACGGCATTTACCTTCCCACTGCAGCAGTATCTATTTATCTACTTGCGCTGGTGTGCTTTCGAACTGCTAGGTTGGCAGGAGCTGGGACAGAGCAATGGGAGCTCACCCCGTAATGCAGATTTGAACTGCCGACCTTCTGATCGGCAAGCCCAAGAGGCTCAGTGGTTTGGACCACAGCACCACCCGCGTCCCATATGAACATCTACCCTGTGCATAGCACTACTGAGCAACCCAAGTGCACATGAAATCTTGGCACAACCAGTTCATACATAGAATTCCATACAGCAAAAACCTAGGACATGGCCACACTTTTTGAAGAAAAGGGTGTACAGTGGTACCTCTGGTTACGAACTTAATTCGTTCCGGAGATCCGTTCTCAACTCGAAACCGTTCTTAACCTGAGGCACGCTTTTGCTAATGGGGCCTCCCAGCACGTGATTTCCGCTCGTATCCTGGGGCAAAGTCCACAACCAGGAAACCTACTTCCGGGTTAGCGGAGCTCGTAACCTGAAGCGTGCATAAGGAGGACGGTTCGTAACTAGAAGTATAACTGCCAACGTGGTGTAGTGGTTAAGAGCGGTGGAGTCATAATCTGGTGAACTTGGTTTGATTCCCCGCTCCTCCACATGCAGCTGCTGGGTGACCTTGGGTTAGTCACACTTCTCTGAAGTCTCTCAGCCTCACTCACCTCACAGAGTGATTGTTGTGGGGGAGGAAGGGAAAAGGAGATTGTTAGCCGCTTTGAGACTCCTTAAGGGGGGATATCAAGTCCAAACTCTTCTTCTTCTCTTCTGTACTTAAAATGCAACTTCTGCATGATGATGATTATTCTGTTTTGAATGATAAGGGCTTGGCAATGCAGGTGATTGTCATATTTTCCTCATCAACTCAGGGATGGGAACCTGAACCCCTCTGGCACACTTAATTGGAGAAGAAGCGAATGTTGGCTCTGAGCCATTGAACAAGTGCCATGTTATGATGGCTTCCTCAGTGCAACAGAAAAAGCATCTAAAAGGGACTTGTATCTTTAAAAGGTACAACATCCTTTATGAAATGTAACATGAGACACATTTGTGATTTGTGCAAGCAACAAATCTCATCGACTTCTCATGACTGAAAATACAAAAGGTTCACAACACCTGGTTTTGTTTTATTGTCTCTCTTTAACATATAATGTGTTGAAATTATCCCTAGGCATTACAAATAATTCCACACATCCAAGTATTATTTTTTCCTATGTCAGATTCATTCTTATTGTTTTGCTGCAGAGGATTTTTTGAAAATAGCATTTAATTCTTTCCTCGGCTCCTGCTATGATTTGACAATAGCTTTGCCACAAGCACTTCAACATTGTCTTTTCATGTTTTATCCATGGGGCTTTTACACATTCTTATTACTAAGTTGTCATTTTCAAAAGAGTCCTCTTCAGTTTACTATTTTCTAAATTAAGTTCACAACCCGCTTAGCAATACAGACCAAGGAATAAAGTGCTAACATTATACTTCCAGAAAGTTAAAATGGGACACCCCCATTTGATTACTCTGTAGTTCTGCTCAAGTTAGACAAGTGATAAAGACAGACACCTGCTCCTCCATTCTGCTGTGATATAGAAAGCGGGATCAGTTTTCTCCTTGTGTTGAACTTACACCAGGACATATGCCCTGAACTTGCCAAATATAGATTGCTATTTTTAGCTTTTGCAGATCTGAAAGGCTCTTAGAATTGATCTGAAAGTACTCAACTGTATTTTGTAGGAAATGTTCCCTTTTCCACAGAATGCTTGCAGAGTGTTAGCCGATTTCGGTAGCACAGCCACCACTCTTAATTGACTTTCTCCTCAACTTCGTGATGTTTTTATAATAATTTAACATCTGATTGACTACTGATTGATCTGAGTGTCGTGACATCATCTGTCAGGGACTGGGCAGAAGAGGAATGGTGGAGACTGCCTCCCCAGCCTGACCCTTCCAGGGAGGAGGAAGAGGAAGACAGTACAGTGGAACCTCGGGTTGCGAACGTGATCCATGCGGAATACACGTTCTCAACCCGCAGCGTTCGCAACTTGCAGTGCCACATCTGCACACACGCGGGTTGCAATTTGGCACTTCTGCGCATGCTCAAAGCATGATTTAGTGCTTCTGCGCATGCGCAAAGTGCAATTTAGTGCTTCTGCACGTGCACAAGCGCCGAAACTTGGAAGTGACCCATTCCGGTACTTTCGGGTTTGGCGCAGTGCGCAACCCGAAATCACATAACCTGAAGCACCTGTAACCTGAGGTACCACTGTATAGATTTGCAATAGTGGTTTGCTGGAGGTCACAGCTCAGAGGCAGATGAGGGGACCATTCTACCTGCAAAACATGGGTTCTGCCAATGAGCTGCTTGCAAAGCTCCCTTGCCTTCACACACACACACACACACACACACACACACACACACAGTAGGTTCCACCGAGATTTGAACTCAGATCCCTGGACTCAGAGTCCAAAGTACTAACCATTCCACCATGGAACTTTACACAATGAAATTCACAACACCGTCAAAGCAAAAGCTATGTTTTTTGTGTGTGTTTTGGTTTGGTTTGGAAATAACACTGCATGGTTTCTTTGTATGTGCCCCATAATATTTGGAGAAAGCACTTCAGGTTTGTGAGCTGAAGCTCATAATTAAAAACTGCATAGGGGAAAAGGAAAGGAAAGCAGCTGTGAAACACAAGTCTGTGGTGCAATAAACATAAATTAAAGGAATATGAAAATATAAGTTGCCCCCAATGAGAAGCCCATAGCAGAATATAACAACTTTTTTTATTTACAGGAGACTGGGGCTCACAGATATAAATAACAGCTTCAAGTAATAAAGAGACGAAAGAAGTAGATTTAAGTGGCAGCCTTGAATAATGGCAATTGGGAAACAGATGGCAGAACATCTTGACACAAAGAAAGGTGGCTGGGGGTGTACTTTTTGCACACTTACCTGGGAGTAAGTCACATTGAACTCAGTGGGACTTACTTTTATGTAAACATAAAAGATTTCAATGTTGGTTAATTAATGGATTAATTAATTGAGTTGGGAGTTCACTGTCTGGTGTGTGTGTGTGTGTGTGTGTGTGTGTGTGTGTCTGAGAGAGAGAGAGAGAGAGAGAGAGAGAGAGAGAGAGAGAGAGAGAGAGATCAGCAGTGTGTCCTTTGAAAGTGCCATCTTGCCGCTTGTATTTTTTTACATTTGCCAAAGGAAGGTTAATGTAGATCAAAGTTTGTTATGTTTGCATGGTCAGATCCAATTCAGCACATACAGTTGCCAACTACTTCTAAGGAGATTCATTTATCTGATTCAGATCTGCCCATTCTTGTATTACAAAATTTATATCTGGGCATATTTTTTTCATATCTCCATTTCAAATAATATAGAATTAGGGAAACAAATTGGCCACGACTCCTTAACAGACTCTCCCCGTCCATTTGCAATCTTTTTTCCACAAAAGAAAAACACTTTTTAAAGAGAAAGTCCATAGATTTTTAGTTCACATATCACTGCAAGGTATGATACATTTGCAACTTTGCATATTTCCAAATCTTCTCCCAATAAATTGTGTGGGAAGGCAAGGAGGAATCGTTATGATGCTGATGTGTGGAAATGAGCTCAGAAAATCAGACTGGCACACACATCAGGTCCTGGGATAGTTTAGTCAGTAGAAAATGAGACTCTTAATCTCAGGCTTGTGGGATCAAGCCCCACATTGGGCAAATGATTCCTGCACTGCGAGGGGTTAAACTATATGACCCTCATGGTCCCTTCCAATTCTATGATTCTATGCTATAGGGACAAAAGCTGTAGGGAACATAAACATTTAATTGCTGGATCATCCAAAAGCTCTTCTTTACCTCATATAAAACCCAGCAAGATGGGTCTGGGAAACTCAATTGCAAAATGGTGGTAGCAACCCACTTTGTTCTGTCCCTAAATCTCAGTGTATACTATTGCTGAACATGAAGACTGTATTCTTAACTGGCATTGCCAAAAGCCATTGATAGATGTATGTTCCATGAATCTGCCAAATCAGTTTTTAAGGCATCTAAGTTGATAAAGGGGACACGGGTGGCACTGTGGTCTAAACCACTGAGCCTCTTGGGCTTGCCGATCAGAAGGTCAGCGGTTCGAATCCCTGTGACGGGGTGAGCTCTCGTTGCTCTCTCCCAACTTCTGCCAACCTAGCAATTTGAAAGCACACCAGTGCAAGTAGATAAATAGGTACCGCTGTGGTGGGAAGGTAAACAGCATTTCTGTGCACTCTGGCTTATGTCATGATGTCCCATTGTGCCCATTGTTAGGTCCATCATGAGACATCCGCCAGCTTCCAACCATGGATACCAGCAAGCTTCAAGCAAGCAAACTTGCCTTATTATCGCTCCCTAGCATCCCACTGCCAGAGGATTGCCTCCTTCCATTCACCAGTTTGCCTCCTCCAAGTAGAAGAAACCTGGGCAGGGCTGAATGTCACATCCATTGCCAGGTGTGTCCTGCTGGAAATAAAAAAGGGCTTTCCCCTTGGCCTGCCTGTATATCCACTCAGTTGCCAAGTGCTTTTGTGACATCACAAGAAACCCACAGCCAATGGCAACAGCTGGGGAGGCATCATCTTCATTGCTTTGAGCCTCACAATGGCGGGTGGACCTATCAGTGATTGTGTGTTTGTTTATTTGGGACATGGGTGGTGCTGTGGTCTAAACCACTGAGCTTGGGCTTACCGATCAGAAGGTCGGCGGTTTGAATCCCTGTGATGGGGTGAGCTCCCATTGCTCCTGCCAACCTAGCAGTTCGAAAGCATGCCAAAAATGCAAGTAGGTACTGCTCCGGCGGGAAAGTAAACGGCGCTTCCGTGCACTGCTCTTGTTTCACCAGAAGTGGCTCAGTCCTGCTGGCCACATGTCCTGGAAAAACTGTCTGTGGACAAATGCTGGCTCTTTCGGCCTGTAAAGCGAGATGAGCGCCGCAACCCCAGAGTCGTCTGCGACTGGACTTAACTGTCAGAGGTCCTTTACCTTTACCTTTTTAAGTTGAGAAAACAAAATAAGGTATTTCCAGAATTACAAACAGGGTTATTGATGGAAGAGGTAAAAGTTTCTGCACCTCAGAGATTCAGAGAGAAGTGGCTGGTAAAGATATGGGGATCGTGAAGTGGTTTTTTGCATGACAAGAAAGTTATCTTCAGGAGAAGCAATTAAAATTGCTTCTCTCTCGTGAAATCTTCCAATCTGCTTGCATTTCCTGCTTTAGTTTTCAGGAGATTTACCTGGTAGTTTCTATCTTTGCTGCCCACTGTTACGATGTCTTCGGAAATGGGGAAGAGTTTTTGAACTGCTGGGGTGAACTGCCACCCATTTCCACATTAAGCCAAAGCAGACCACTGCGAGAAGACTTTGTGGATTCATTTCTCAAGGAGTTCAGCTGCTGCAGGTAGGGTGGAAATTGGCACAAGGTGATTTGGCCTGGATTTCTTTCTGCACCACTGAAAGCAAGCTGCCACAACAGCACTTTTCAATGCCTCTCACAAAAGCTGAGCCTCCAAGGATGGATTAGCAAAGACTGTTAAATGCCTAGCAATAACAGAACAGGACAATGTTAAAAGATATTGTTCTGCTTCATTATGCTTCCTTTGCTGGACAGATTAATTTCAGTCACAGCCTTTTAAATCTGATGTTGCATAAAGGATGATGACAATAGCATTTCCCTCCGTTTGTCATTAATCTGCCGGATACAAGTTATACACTTGAGTGATCCTCACCCCCACCCCCAAAGCAGACAAGATAGGAATTAGGGGTTCATTTGTTCAAAGAAACTCTTCTACTGGAGGAATTTGTTAAGGGTACTTTGCATAACAAGTGAAAGTGATGGGAAAGCCCATAGGAGTTTTGTTCTTTGGACCTGGTAGCCAACCCTATTTTGTTCCTTGGGCTAGCAAGGTGTTTGCATGCAGTAGTGGCCTGCAAGCAGCCTTCACAAGCCAAGTGGTTCTTTCGCCCAATGTTGGATTCGTGATTTGCCCTCCTTGTCCCCATCGAAGATAGTTATTGTCAGGGACTGGGCAGAGGAGAAATGGTGGAGACCACCTCCCCAGCCTGACCACTGAAGAAGAAGAAGAAGAAGAAGAAGAAGAAGAAGAAGAAGAAGAAAATAAGAGGAGGAGGAGGAGGAGGAGGAGGAGGAGGAGGAAGAAGACAGTGCAGAATTACAACCAGGGTTTGAGGGAGATCACAGCTCAGAGGCTGATGAGGAGGAAAGCTGGGAAATAATGGGGGAGGAGGAGGAGGAGGAAGAAGACAGTTCAGAATTACAACCAGGGTTTGAGGGAGATCACAGCTCAGAGGCAGATGAGGGGGAAAGCTGGGAAATAATGGGGGAGGAGTGGGAGGAGGAGGAGGAGGAGGAGGAGGAGGAGGAAGAAGAAGAAGAAGAAGAAGAAGAAGAAGAAGAAGAAGAAGAAGAAGAAGAAGAAGACGAAGCACCAGAGGGGTGACAGCAGACAGACACAGTGTCTTTAGGAAGCATTCCAGACACCCCCCCTCTCCCAGAACGTGGCAAGCATTGAAAGTAGGAGAGCAAAGAGCTCAAATGCAGAGGGCACTTCTCAGCACCCGTAGTTATGATGCATGAGAGAGGAAGGGGGTGGAGACTCACTCTGGGCAACACCATTATTCCAAGAGGCTGCATCTCCAAGCCTCTCTCTGTGAATATTGAACAAATGCAGTTGGTAAGAACTTTTGCTTGTCTTATCCTTTCCTGGCAACCTGCCATGGGGTGGGATCTTCTGGCACCTGGCAGTTATGTATCAACATTAGCAGAATGGGAACAAGTAGGAAATTGCACCTGCAAGGAGCTAGAGATGGATCCTAGCCAGCTGTGCTGTGATCTGACATCAGGGCGTTTGATCCTGACAACCTCCTAGGCTAGGTACTCTAGCCATTCCATTCCAGAACTTTCAACTGGCCAATTAAAATTTACTTTGGGGAACTCCCTTCTCTCACATTATAGTTTAATTTCAGCTTGCTCTACAGTAGCCCTCTTTAGCTCAGAGTGTATGTTTCTGTGATCATGGTTACATTTCAGCAATGTCAGTTTTTTAGAGTTTTATGCTTTTGACATTTGAGGATCTCTCAGGCATTTTCTGATCCCGACTAATGTTTTGTAAGTTCATTGATGTGTTTTGAACTTTGCAGCAAAAAGAATTCAAATAAAGTCTAAAATGAGTGGAAACCTTTTAAAAATAATCATAAAGTTAAAAACAGAACTTTTCCAATATAAGAGAGAAAGCATTGCGTTCCCCAGACACTCATAAACAAACATGAGAGAGAGAGCGCAGAGGTGCAAGAAGGAAGACTCAACTGGGAGTATTTTGTGTGTCCCTTCCTGAATAATAAAAAGGCCTCTTTGAAATTCACATGCTTTGGATTTATATGAAAAAAATACCCTATCCAAATTGCAGATGAACTGCAAGACTTTCTCCTCTGCTTTTAGCCTCATTTCACAGAAGTCATGCGATAAAATATGGAGAGCTTTTATATATATCATACAGTTTGCTAGCAATGGGGTTTCCTCCGTGGCAGATGTGTGGTTGTGTAAAATCATCAGCACTCTTCAAGAGAAGCTTGCAGACTATGATATTTTTCGATGGATAAAACTGAACACAACCATGATATTCTGCTTGTAAAACCATGGGTCAAATATTCAGTTACAGTCAAACGAGGCATCTGAGCTCAAAGTTGCAGCTTGAACTGAGTCCATATACAGTGGTACCTCGGGTTAAGTACTTAATTCGTTCCGGAGGTCTGTACTTAACCTGAAACTGTTCTTAACCTGAAGCACCACTTTAGCTAATGGGGCCTCCTCCTGCTGCCACGCCGCCGGAGCACGTTTTCTGTTCTCATCCTGAAGCAAAGTTCTTAACCTGAAGCACGATTTCTGGGTTAGCGGAGCCTGTAACCTGAAGCATATGTAACCTGAAGCGTATGTAACCTGAGGTACCACTGTACAATGTTGGTGTTATCTTGACCATGGTGGTGGCAAACAGGACACACCCCAGAAGAAGAAGCAAAGAGTTAAGAAATAATGGAAGATGAGGCACCGGAGCAAGCTAGCAGATGCTCTAGTCCTGAACACAGACAGGACTCAGAAGTGGGAGAAGCAATACAATGGACAGTGGGTACCACGTCACTTGAAAGCCTGGTGGAACCTGCTCCTTTTCCAGGCGATCCCTTTGAATCTTAGAGCAGAAGGCTAAACAGAGACAGAAATATTCCACTGCCGGCCACCGTAAGCAGTAAGGAGGGGTTTGGAAGCTAGGAAGTGCTGCAAGGGGTGTAGAGTGGCCACTCTGAGCTATGCATCGAGGCTGAGAGGAACATAATTCATGGTCTCTCTGTGTATTCTGTTGAATTCAAGAAAAGAACTAACAGTAGCTCTGCGTCTCTGATTTCACTAGCTGCTAGCCTGGGAGTTGTGACATGCACACACACTTTTCTCTCCCCCCAGTTATTGGTTATCAAATAGCACACTCCTATTAGTGGGATTATGGGACGTGGGTGGTGCTGTGGTCTAAACCACTGAGCCTTGGGCTTGCCAATCAGAAGGTTGGCAGTTCGAATCCCCACGACGGGGTGAGCTCTTGTTGCTCAGTCCCTGTTCCTGCCAACCTAGCAGTTCGGAAGCACGTCAAAAAGTGCAAGTAGATAAAGAGGTACGGCTCTGGTGGGAAGGTAAACAGTGTTTCCGTGCGCTGCTCTGGTTTTGGTGCTCCATTGCACCAGAAGTGGTTTGGTCATGCTGGCCACATGACCCGGAAAAACTGTCTGTGGACAAACACTGGCTCCCTCAACCTGTAAAGCGAGATGAGAGCCGCAACCCCAGAGTCGTCTGTGACTGGACCTTTACCTTTACCTTTATCAGTGGAATTATTGCCTAGTAAGCGTGTTTAGTCTGACCCAAAGTTTCCAGGTTTGCCCTCCAGGTGACAGGTGGTCTGCCCTACTCTGCTCCCATCTCCCAGATAACCTTCATCTCCAGGACTCGCCCCCATGACATCACCATGTGCCACACCAGGTCTCAGATTTGGAGCCTGAAATCTCAGGGTTTGGGATGCTCCTAACTTGGCAACCTTAATGACTTATCTGCTCATGAAATTCCCTGCTAAACACTGATGCCCTAGGGTTGACCCATAGGAAGTGGCAATATGCATTAGTGCTACTTCTTGATATGGCACACTGAGCCTGTTGGGCTTGCTGATCGGAAGGTCAGCAGTTTGAATCCCTGTGATGGGGTGAGCTCCCGTTGCTCTGTCCCAGCTCCTGCCAACCTAGCAGTTCGAAAGCAGGTCAGTGCAAGTAGATAAATAGGTATCGCTGTGGCAGGAAGGTAGACGGCATTTTTGTGTGCTCTGGTTTCCGTCACGATGTCCCGTTGTCCCAGAAGCTACTGTTAAGATCATTATGAGACGTCCACCAGTTTCCAACCACGGATACCAGCAGCCCTCAAGCAAATGGCTTCTGTTGACTGTCTTCCAAAGGTGAACTTCCATCAGCCAACATCCACAAACATCAATCTGCTTTAGCTTTGTAGCCTCCACCAACTTCTGAATCCAAATGCCACTGGCTTCCATCCACCAACATCTGCCAGCTTCTCTTAGGTCCATCATGAGACGTCCACCAGCTTCCAACCACAGATACCAGCAGCCTTCAAGCAAGCAAGCTTGCCTTATTATCACTCCCTAGCATCCCACTGCCAGAGGATTGCCTCCTTCCATTCACCACTTTGCCTCCTCCAAGTGGAAGAAACCTGGGCAGTGATGAATGTCACATCCATTGCCAGGTGTGTCTTGCTGGAAACAAAAAAGGGCTTTCCCCTTGGCCTGCCTGTATATCCACTCAGTTGCCAAGTGCTTTTGTGACATCACAAGAAACCCACAGCCAATGGCAACAGCTGGGGAGGCATCATCTTCATTGCTTTGAGCCTCACAATGGCAGGTGGACCTATCAGTGATTGCGTGCTTGTTTATTCGGGATGTGGATGGCACTGCGGTCTAAACCACTGAGCCTCTTGGGCTTGCCGATCAGAAGGGTGGCAGTTTGGATCCCCGCAACAGGGATATCTATATGCGGTATCTATAGAATGAGTGTGAATTCGGTTCTTTCAAGGAGTTCAAATTATCCCTTGTCTGACTGACAAAGAATTGTTTTTGTTCCAGGTGGCAGCACATGGATAAATGACAGCTACGATGCAATTGTTGGGAAGTACAACTTTTAAAAATTATACTTCCTGCCTGCCTTGTACCTATTACCAGATGATCATTTTAACATGTGTTGTGAATCTCAATACACAAGTAAAAGAATTGGCACATTATTAGCTCTCATGATGTTATAATTCAAATCTGTCTTTGGCCTCTTAAAACTGTGCTTCGAATCAGGGACAGTATCAATTCTTTTTTTAAAAAAAAGCTCTCTTTTCCCCCCCTACAGCTTTTTCCAAAGTTCTGAAAGCAATTCACATACTTTATTTTTCTATTGTAATCCTTGTAAATCTGTCCAGAACTAATCTCTCCATATTATAGATGAGAGGCTGGGAGATAATGGCTTATTTAAGACTACCCATTGTGTTTAGCTGCACTGAACTCTTGAAGTAGGGAGCTCAAGCTTATGATTTACACCAGCTTTTCAAAAGAGGTGGCAGATATAAGCCCAATGCTTTATCATCAAAAGTACAATATTTGGACTAGAGTTATGCATAATAACTCATTTGTCTATCTTGAGGAGATTGCTGTTGAACAGTTCATATACACACTGAGAACAAGTATGGGACTTTTGCTAAATAAACATTCAGCGAACTTGGATAAATGAATAGCTCTCAACTTCCGTTCTAAGAGAGCCTGGGAGGTGGAAGGAAAACTCCCAGCTGAGAGATGGGCGGTTCTGCCATTGTGCGTGTGTGTGTGTATTAAGAGCTAGTTTTGCATAGACAGATGTATATGCTGATGTAGAAAAATAGCTAAAGAAGCTGAAAACCAAGACCAAACCAAATGAAGACAGCCTAAGAGATATATATAAACCTTTTCCTCAAATTTGCCTTTCATCTGTTCTCCTTTTAATTTGCTTCTCCCATTATTCTCTTTAACTTAGCAGTATGCTTTAACTTTAACTTAGCAGTACACTGCCTACAACCCCTTATTTTTTTTACACTGCTACTGCTGTTAAATATGTATTATGTTTTATAGTTGCATCTGAAATGAGTAGACAATATCCTATGTTATTAGAACACCGGTATTTTGCTAGGGGTGAGTTTTAGAGTTTGTTGCTGGTTCAATGCTGTGAATAATTTGACACTGCTGCTCATTAGGTACTGCCTATTTATTACATACCATTATGTATTGCTTAAAATAATGGTCCTTTGTAACTTGTTGTATTTCATGGACATTATGTTTTATATATTTATCATGCTATTTATTGTGTAACTCATTGTTGGAATTGTTCAGCAGAATTACTGAACTGTACCTTGTGTAGAAATAAATGAGCTTCCCACCCCAAGAATAAGTTTCAAAACTTTACTGCAGAACAGTCTTAAATCTAGTTTAAGAAGTTACAAGAACAAAATACAAAACAACACACTACAGTCAAGTACTGTAATGTGATTCAGTCCTTTATTTTATTTATGCAGTTCAGTAAACTTTCCTCTCTCTGGTCCCAGAGAGAGAACCTAACCTTGTTCATCACCACAGAGCTTCTCTGCTATTGTTGCTACTAACCATCTATGATTTCTCAATCTTCCTCTCCTGCTATGAGAGCTGCATCTCAGTTTTCCTGAGATGAGACACCAAGTAACCTAAACCCTGCTGGAATGGAAAAACACCAGCCTTTTCCGACGCTTTTGCCAGAGTGGAACCTCTCCCATAACGCAAACTTCTCTTTATAGCATTCCAAATACAATGTATTTAAACACCCATTTTATGTACATTAAACTTATAACTTTAGCACTAATTTGTAAATGCCTTGTGGCTTTTTGACAAAGGGCCATATATACATTTCTTAAGTAAATAAATTGTCAAATAAATTCCATAATCCCTAGGGGAAGACAAACACGTCTATTTGAGTGGTTCTACGACTTTTTGGAATTGCATATGGATTTGTGTCGTTGCTATTGGCAATCTAGAGAGCATTTAATGAAGAGTGGAAATCAAGTTAAGCCCTTAGAACCAGAGCGATTAAAATTAGTTCTTTTTCAGCCTCATTTTTAGAAAGCTGGTTTTAAAATATTCTCCCTATCTAGAATGTCAGAATGATGTGCCTTCAGTGCACTGTTGCCTGTCATTATGACATGACATGATTGACACATCTCTGCTTCAGCTATCACGCTGGAAATGGTCCCCCACTTTCTTAAAATTAAGTGCCTTTACAGTCTATTTTTAAAAAAGCATATTTTCTGTAGCTGTATGTGACTATGCCACTCATTTGGGCCAAGTGCTCCAGAGAGCTGCCAAAATGACAGTCGAGAAATGAAAGAGACTAAGCAGATGATTTGGTGAGGAACATTTTTAGATACACATTTCTGCAAATTAAGGCTCTCCTCTCTAGTGACAGGAGCTGGCTTTTTTGCCTGACACTTAGAAAGATTACCCTTCGTAATTTCCTATGATAAATGACTGCATGAGTTAAAGTGTGAAACAACCCTGGCCATGACTAGTTTGATTTTCAGTCAGAAAATCCAGACATCAATCCAGACATCTTAAGGTCTCCTCTCAAGAGCCTTAGTTTCAACAAAGGGAAAATTACTATTATTTATTGAATTTATATACTGCCCTGTAATTGGGTGTCTCAGGGCAGTTCACAGAATAAAATCAAGATATAAAACCACAAAATGCACAATAAAAATAAAAACAGCAACCCAATAGCCTCCTGTCCCCCCAAAAAAACATTTTAAAAGGGCATAGGAAGTCAATCAAATCAACCAAAGGCCTGGCGCCTAAAGGTGTGTAATGAAGGCGCCGTGCGAACTTCCCAGGGGAAAGCATTCCCAGCTGGGGAGCCACTGCAGAGAAGGCCCTGTTCTCATGTTGCCACCCTCCAGACCTCTCAAGGAGGAGGCACATGAAGAAGGGATTCAGAAGATGATCTCAGGGACCGGGTAGGTCCATATGGAAGGAATTGGTCCTTGAGATATTGTGGTCCCAAGCCGTTTAAGGCTTTATAGGTCAAAACCAGCACTTTGAATCAGGCCCGGAAACTAATCGGTAGGCAGTGCAGTTGGACCAGGATCGGTGTAATATCATATCGTAAAACCTTCATTGGCATCACATACAACATAAAAAACAAATCAATACAGAATTACCACTTCCCCAGTGGCACAAAACATTTGCTAAAAGAAAGGAGGCAGAGCAGTCTATCGTCATATCTCTTGGTCTCCAAGGAGATCAGATGTCTGCAGTGTATTTCAACGACAAAAAACCAAATAGAGATATTTAGCCACTAACTTGGTGGAGCGGCTGCATTTCTGTGAAAATGTCTAAGAAAAAGAAGCGATCGATTTCATCTCCACAAGTGAGCCCACAGCAGAAGTGCAAAAAGTGTGTAACATGCTCAAACAGTCTTGCTCCAGGGGAGCAACCTCGCCGCTAAATTCTGCACCAGCTGAAGTTTCCGAACTGTCTTCGGAGGCAGTCCTATGTATAACGCATATGGTCATAGGAAGATGCCTCATCAGACCATCAATCCATCAAGCTCAGTATTGTCTACATGGAATGGTGGCAGCCCTTCAGGATTTCAGGTAGAAGTCTGCCCCAACCCTACCTGGAAGTGCCAGGAATTGAACCTGGGGTCATCTTGCAAGATGGTTTGGTCTACCACTGAGTTATGGCCCTTCCCTATGTTGGTCTAGATGCACATTCCTTTGCTTGTGTAAATTTAATAAGTTAGTTTCCCTATTTGCAGGGACAGTCCTGGATTTACAAGAGCAGTCCCGGTTTCTGATATGATGTCAGGCTTGAAGGAATCCAATCCCGCCCCTGTCCAGAATCCAAAACAGCCAATAAGTGTAGACAATACTAAGTTAGATGAACCAATGGCAGACTCAGTATAAAAGGCAGCTTCCTATGCAAAATACATTTTAAAAAACAAAACAAAAACACCCATTCTGTTCCTGCAGGCTTACAGACTTTAATAAAACCCCGAAACATTAATATTTGACATTTTAAAGCTCAGAGAAACTCAGGGACAAAAATACTTCTGTTCCAGACAATTTAAAAGCTAAAAGGGGGGGGGGGAATGGGCAGGCAAAACTAAGCCACCCCATTCCAGTTGCCAGCCTGGCAGCCTAAACTCTGTGTTGTGACAGGAAAGTGAAAGGGGAATTGAGACAGCTGTACATTTAATAGCTATGGCTGGATACAAAGTTGATGTGTTTGGGAGGAGGAGGGCTCTTTTCCTCTGAGTTAAAGGTCCCCCGTGAGCTTCCAGTTAAAGCAACCGTTCCTTATCATTTAAACTGGGTATTTTACTTTCTGTAGGGACCCTCTAGAGGAGACACAGAGAGATTGTAATTTTATTTTTTTATTGAAACCTTTTATGCTGCCCCTCATCATTGCTGCAGGCACAGGAAATCATTTCTGCGCTTCCTTGGGCTTTCTGGAGAGAAGTCATAAGCTGTTGCTGCTGCCACAACTGCTGTGACAAAGAAAACTTCTTTTTGTCAAGCTGTCAAATGCAGAGAAAGACCCCAAGGGAAAGAACTTTGGGTTAAACCCCCTCGTGGCCTTTTTTGCCTTGTACCCGGGCAACACAGGGGGTTCACAAATGGAACTTAAATACAAATAACAAGTTCACTAGGCTCAGCAAATGATAGGGGGAAAGATCACTCCCAGTCAGTGCAGGAAGAACACTAGGGAGGCTGGAAAAGAGACCTTGCTATCACTGTCATGCCCATCATTTCTCTCTTGCTGCTGTCAGTCTCCTTGGAAGGAGAGATGAGGGAAACACCTGTGAACTATCTAGCCTGCTGAGAAGGCCCCACCGCCAAGAACTCGGAACTGCATTGAGGCCAGGCGGCTGGTGGTCTCCTGGCATACGATGAGACTAGCATCAGCAACTGTGGAGTGCAACATCGCTGAAGCAGTCAAATAGAACATTTCCTGTTTGCCCAGAGTGGACACACAGGGGAATGTTGCTCCAGCCAGGAGGACTTCCTGTCACACCTGGTCTGGCGCATCCTCCCCCTATGTGTGACCAGGTTGATGGGCGTGACCCTGGGAGACCCCATAAAAGGGCTGGTCACGCAGCCACTTCCCCCTTTTTCTCTTGATCCGATCTCTCCTCCTCCTCCTCCTCCTCCTCCTCCTCCTCCTCCTCCTCCTCC